CACTTATTGCTTTAAATAGCTGACAAGTTTTTGAAGAATTGCACGAAGGCGCCCTATAAGTTGAAATCACTCTAATCTCCAAAGAATAAAACCAAATATCACAAGTTAAGGATTCGTAAGAGTCAGGCACTGACTCGCTGAAAACTATGCAAGCCGAATGAGGACTTTTGACCATGACTGCAACTCCACCACCTCTTTTGCGAACCCTATCAGCTTTAAAAATTTAATATTGTGTTGCCATTAACCCAAGCAGCGGAGCCATATTAGTTTTAGAATGGAACCATGTCTCACGCAAAATGAGTAGCTCAAAGTTTCATTAAGTAAATGTGAGCTACTAAAGCATCAGCATTTTTCACAGCAGACCTTACATTGGTTACGAAACCACTAATGAACGGACGATTGGACCGCAAAACTCTTAAGCGTTTACCTGCACCGAATTAACAACATGAGCATCCGGCACCGCATTTTGAGATGAACTAAAAGAATCATCCACAGGATCCATAACTTTATTAGACGATACAGCTTGATTATACGGCACGGAAATAGATAAACAAGAATTTAAATCGGAATTTAAACCACTAAGACGTGCTTTTCCTGCTAAATGTGCCTCACGGTACTACTCTCTCTCCTCCGTCAATAGGGATGGGCGAAGATAGACGCCCTTAGGATCGAAACAGCGCAACCGCGAGGCGAGTCTAACTGCCATTTGCTGGAATCTAGATGTGGGTAATACAGCTTTGGTAAGACGTAACCTAACATTGTTACTGTTGGAATTTCCCATGCGGTAAACCGCACAGGGTACACATTCAATGTCAAGATGATTTAACAAAGCATTTGATTTAACAAAGCATTGACACATTGAAAATCATGGTGCGCTCTATCTATCGCAGCAGTAGAATTAGGTTCTGACAACCCAATGATAACAACGGACCGCTTCTTTTCAATATCATTCTCTGACGTTGACTTCTCACTGACTTGTGACTTAGGACCTACAACATTTACTGATGAACCGTTAGGAATTCCTACTTTCAACCATTTCTTTCAAACTAGTATTCTCCACCTTGAGCTTGGTATTTCCCTCTACAAGACTGCTAATAAATTCCCGCATCGAGTCCAGTTCCTTTTTTGTATCGAGTAGAACACTGATGATGGCTCTCACATAAGCAGGGACTCTGGGCCCAGCACAATCCTCCATGAGTTTCGCCCAGTCATCCTTTCGGGCGACACCTTATTCACAAATCTCCTCTTGGTTGCTGCAACAGAGATGATCTGTGTGGTGTATCCATGCCTTAGTATATGTCCAATCGATTTCTGATCTACTGGTCAATCGGGGAGCAAAGTCCAAATCACCAGACAGCAAACAGTAAAACTAGCAGCACAGAGGGAGAGTATAAAGAAAATCGGTAAAATACACCGGGTGAGGTGGCTTGATATACGAAGCAATAGCGTCTCCGCCCCAGAGATCTGGGAGCACTTCACTAAGAATAACACCAGCACGGTGCAAGACCAATGAAGAAGAATAACAGCGCGAAAGCTGTCATAGTAATCACAGTTTGATCATCATCATCATACAGTATGAATATCAGACAAGACAGTAGTAGAAGTTCTGCTTCGGTGCAATTGAAATGACTGCAGGAAAGAAACCCGGAAATAAATAAGTGGCGGGGGCAGGGGGACGAGCCGACCGCTCATAGGCAAGGTAGGCGCGCGATATGAGTAGTTGCCGCGCTTTGCGGAATGGAGAGCAATGCGGTTACGACCAGGGTCAACCCTGCGTTACGCAAAGAACAACGAGGGGGTCGTATTCAGCTGACCGAAAAAGGAGGGGTCGTATCTACAAACGGGCAAGACGGCTTGAAAAGTGCAGTGTCCGGGAGTGCACTTTCACCCTCTAGTGTTCTCCGAGGAGCTCTGCACGCTGTCGGAGAGTCAAACAGACATGAGCTCCATGGGAGCATTAAAGCATGCAGAGCACTATAAGTCTCACCATCAGCTTATTATCCTTAATCGACGCTATCCGGACTGCGCTTTTACTCCGCGGCATGGATCAAGAGTACAATAGACAATAGCCCAAAACTTTGTTACAGTGTAATGCAAAAACATGGTCTGTCTTCGATTTTGAAACATTGCCTGAAAATCCCGAGGAGAACAAAGTGTAGAGCAGTTCATGGGAAAGTGAAACAAGAGTGCCATATAACAGCACAATAAATCATCAGATACTACTAACACCTTCTTCAGGAAAACAGAAGACTTCAAAATGCGAGTGCGAACTCTGTTCACAGATAGAAACCAAAACTCGGACCCCACCGGTGCACGGCGTATACCCGAGGCGTTTTCCCATAAAAACGCCTCCTCTGTCAGCGGCCGTAAGCAGACAAACTTTCTGAAGAGAGTTTCGATGCTTTCAAATAAAATCTAAGCGAAACAAAGTGTAGCGAATTTGCTGAATTGAGTTCTAGAGACGCCGTAGGAAAATTGAGGCAGAAGAAGGAATTTCAGGGAAAATTTCACAGTTGTTATGAAGTACTCTTCGAGTGGATTCCAACAATCTTTACCGCTTCTCATCACATTAATTTCAAAGGAAGTTATGGGCCTTTGAAGACTGCATAGTCGCGGTCCAGGAAAATGGCTTGAAAAAAATCAAGGTGGAATAAACGGAACAACGGGACTATTTTTTGAGCGAGTGATTATTTCAAGAAGTTTAAGCACTTATTCGAGCTCTAATCCTCTAGTTTCTAATTAGCCTTGAACATCTGCAAAATGTTGAGTATGAAGAAAGTTATTAACGTTTGAATGTCGAAAACTCGCGCCTTCTCAAAAATCGAACCCCAAACCACCCGTAAACGGAACAACGGGACTATTTTTTGAAAAATGATCGCTGGAAAATTTTCAGGTGCTTGTTCGAAAGCTCTGTCATCTTCTAGTTTCTAATTAGCCTATAGACATTTGCAAAAAGTTGATTATGAAGAAAGTTATGAATGTTTGAATGTCAAAAACTCGCGTGTGCACAGAAAACGGAACAACGGCACGATTTTTTGAAATACTGAACATCCACAACATTTCAAATACTCCTCAGGAAGAAAACTATTTATATTTTTAAAATTTTGGTGTCCGATTTCATGAAACAGCTTCTGAAAGAAAATATAACCTTCTGAATGGAGGGGTTTGGATTGCAATGTAATTGCTACAAAGGTTTAGTTTTTCAGATTATAAGGTAAGGAAAATTGAGAGATCGAAAAAATCCTGGTGGGTTTCTGAAAGTAGAAATCTTTACGATTAAAATGATGTATTCGTTTCACGCATAAATTTGGAAATTCCTTCTATTTAATGGGTAAAACTTCATTTGCCTCGATTCCCTCTGAGCGAGACAAAGCGCGCGGGATTGCCCACAGATACGAAGTTAGTTACATACATGTTGGTGACTGCCATCATTGATGAGCATTGATGAGCATTAAATTATGTGAAAGACATGATAGTTAATATGGGGGGTCGTACCGATACCCCCCGAAAAGGAAGGGGGTCGTAAAAATTTTGGAATTTGCGCAACGCAGGGTTGACCCTGGTTACGACCCCTCTCACTCGTCTCAGCGGAGCAAGTACGACCCC